ATATTCCTATCATCTATCGATACAAAATATTGTAAATGTTACGTCGTAGGTCCAATCGATTTAGACTGCAAATACTTTTAATATGATTAATACATTTTATTTATGAAAATCTATTATTTAATTGAATTATTATTCTGATAAATTATAGAGTCCATAGATTCGAGTAATTAGATTCAAGTTCTAGTAACTTGTTAATCATAAGGAGTCGTGATATTAAATTACATATGATTGAATTTTAAATTATTTGTAGTCGTAAGTAATAAGGATATATGGATATCGTTATTACTGATATATCAGCACGTGTAGTGTTTTTTTACTTATGAAGTAAGTAGTTGATCTCACAACCTAAAATATAGTACATTTAAATGGATGCGTGAATATTTTGTTATGAGAATAAAATATTGGAGACCCGTTGAAGAGATTCCACGTGGATAATTAGCTAAGTACCTTGGTTAATAGCTAACATTCGGTAATGAAATTAATCATTTGACTTGAGGTCATCATAGTGTCTTATATAGAGATAGTCATACTTTAGTGATATTGAATGTTGCTCTGCCAGAGTCGCTAATCCGACATCGTTCGGGTATATCAATAATCATATGAAAGTTGTGAGTAATCAATACATGATTCATTATTTTTAGATAGTAAGATATTATAGTCTACATTTCATTCAATTAAGTTGATTATAAAATCCATGGTTAATGTATACTCATAAGTTGAAAATAATTTTCGGCTTACACTGACTTAAGAGTGAGATGAAATATATGATCGATAATTGAGATTGACACACATCCATATTTCGTAATTGATCGGATCATATTGACAAATGGATTATAGTTTTGCGATAAACAATCAAGTTTGATTTCATTATACCATGTGACGTTTCTTGCCACATATATTGTCCAGACACATTGTTAAATTCTCACTTAAATAGGAAGATTCTCAGCTCCACTTATTATCCCTTCCTTAAGCAGCGTAGTCTTTGCTTGACCAAAAAACTTGTTCAATTTTTCTTCCTCAAATTCACCCCAAACCCATAAAACAACTCCCTTTCTTATGAACATTATTCAAAACAACCTCCATGCTCGCGTGTCCTCAATTATCAAAAATAAGACAAAAGTCAATTAAAGCTTTTGTTTGACAATCAACATTTTCAAACTTTTTTTTTTCAACCACTCATTCATGCAATAAAATATGGATCATGCTACATTACCGAATTTTTTTATTGAATATTTTACCTACTACTCACAATGGGGATTGGGACCACATTGTCGAAAGTGGAAATTACACCATTCCCTATTTTTGGAGATTTCAATTCCAAAATTGGATTTTAAGTTTTAGTTTGCAAAAATTAGATATTTTATATATAGATA